ATTGGTTCCCAATAGGGAACTAATAGAACCATTGGTTTACAATCGAAAACTAATAGAATAACTGGTTTCCAATACAGAATGAATCCATTGGCTTGAATAGAAAACTAATTAAAACCATTGCCCCCCCCAATAGAAAACTAATAGAAAGCATGGTTTCCAATAGAAAGCTAATTAAAATAATTGGTTTCCAACAGGAAGGTAGTACAAACTATTGGTTCCCAATAGAAAACTGTAGTAGTAGTATTAGTCGTAGTAGTGGAGCTAGCCGCAGTAGTAGTAATAGTAGTAGAAGTAGTAGTAGTAGTAGCAGTCGTAGTAGTAGTAGTAGTAATAGCACTAGTAATAGTAGTAGTCGTAGTAGTCGTAGTAGTAGTGGTAGTAGTAGTAGTAGTAGTAGTAGTAGTGGTAGTAGTAGTAGTAGTAGTAGAAGTAGTAGTAGCAGCAGGAGTCGCAGTAGTAGAAGTAGTAGTAGTAGTAGTAGTAGTAGTAGTAGTAGTAGTCGTGGTAGTAGTAGTAGTAGCAGTAGTAGCACTCGTAGTAGTCGCAGTCGTAGTAAGACTGGTAGTAGTAGTAGTAGTAGTAGTAGTAGTAGTAGTAGTAGTAGTAGTAGTGGTAGTAGTAGTAATATTATTATTAGTAGTAGTAGTAGTAGTAGTAGTAGTAGTGGTAGTAGTAGTAGTCGTAGTAGTAGTAGTAGTAGGGGTAGTCGTAGTAGTAGTAGTAGTAGTAGTAGTAGTTAGTAGTAAGTAGTAGTAGTAGTAGTAGTAGTAGTAGTAGTAGTAGTATAGTAGTAGTAGTAAGAATAGTAGTCGTAGTAGTCGGAGTAGTAGTAGTAGTAAGTAGTAGTATTAGTAGTAGTCAGTTAGTAGTATAGTAGTAGTAGTAGTAGTAGTAGTAGTAGTAGTAGAAGTAAGTAGTAGTAGTAGTAGTAGTAGTAATAGTAGTCGAGTAGTAGTAGGAGTAGTAGTAGTTAAAATAGTAGCAGTAGCAGTACTAGTAGTAGAGTAGTAGTATAGTAGTAGGTAGTAGTAGTAGTAGTAGTAGTAGTAGTAGTAGTAGTAGTAGTAGTAGTAGTAAGAGTAGAAGTAGGAGTAGTAGTAGCAGCATTAGTATAGTAGTAGTAGTAGTAGTAGTAGTAGTAGTAGTAGTAGTAGTAGTAGTAGTAGTAGTAGTGGTGGTGGTGGTGGTGGTGGTGGTGGTGGTAGTAGTAGTAGTAGTAGCAGTAGTAGAAGTAGTAGTACTAGTAGTCGTAGTAGTAGTCGTAGTCGTAGTCGCGGTGGCAGTAGTACTAGTAGTAGCAGCAGTAGTAGTAGTAGTAGTAGTAGTAGTAGTAGCAGTAGTAGTAGTAGTAGTAGTAGTAGTAGTAGTAGTAGT